GGGAGGGGGCCTGGTCAGACAAGCACATACGGAGAACCCCACTCCCCCTCCCAGCAAGACTTGGGAGTCTCCAGGTGGAACAGCAGGCTTCAGAGGAAGCCCCTACTCCATTCTTTCTGAGAATCAGCAAACCAGGCCATTTGTGTAAAAGCTAGTAGCAATATACATACATACATACATACATACATACATATATATATATATATAAAATTGTCTTGATTACTGTACCTTTTTTTGGCTTTCCTTTTTTTTTTTTTTAATTGCAAAAACCTATTGTGAAAAAGATAATTCACAGAGCAAATACCCAGAAGCCTGAGAGCACAGACTTTGTTTTTTTGGGGGGTGGGGGGAGGGTTTACCCCCTGCTTTACTGAGGTATAACTGACAAATAAAAATCGTCTGTGTGGGCTTCCCTGGTGGTGCAGTGGTTGGGAGTCCGCCTGCTGATGCAGGGGACACGGGTTCGTGCCCTGGTCCGGGAAGATCCCACATGCCGCGGAGCAGCTGGGCCCGTGAGCCACGGCCGCTGAGCCTGCGCGTCCGGAGCCTGTGCTCCGCAACGGGAGAGGCCACAACAGTGAGAGGCCCGCGTACCAAAAAAAAAAAAAAAAAAATTGTCTGTGTTTAAGGTGCACACTGTGATGTTTGGATAGGCGTAGACACTGTGAAAGGATGGCCACAGTCAAGCTAATTTACACATCCATCACTTCACATAGTTACCTCTGCTGTGTGTGTGGTGAAAACACTGAAGTTCTACTCTCTTGGCAAGTTTCAAGTATACAATACAGTGTTGTTAACTACAGTCACCATGCTGTGCTTTAGACTCCAGAATTCACTTGTCTTCTAACTGGGAGATGGTACTCTCTGACCAGCATCTCCCCATTTCCCCCTCCCCGCAGCCGCCTGCAACCACCATTCTACTCTCTGCTTATATCAGTTCAACTTTTCTTTTTTTTTTCTTTGGCCGTACCACGCAGCTTGCGGGATCTTAATTCTCCAACCAGGGACTGAACCCGGGCCCGCAGCAGTGAAAGCACAGAGTCCTAACCACCAGACCACCAGGGAATTCCCTCAAGTTCAACTTTTTTAGATTCTACATGAAAGTGAGATCATACAGTATTTGTCTTTCTCTGACTTATTTCACTTAGCATAATGGCCTCCAGGTTCACCCACGTTGTCGCAAATGGCAGGATTTCCTGCTTTTTTCAGTTGAATAATACTCCATTGTGTGTGTGTGTGTGTGTGTACGTGTACGTGTACATTTTCTTTATCCATTTGTCTGGCTATGGACATTTAGGTTGTTTCCATATCTCAGCTATTGTGAATATACTGCAATGAACATAGGAATGCAGACACTTCCTCGAGATTTTAATTCCCAGAAGTGAGATGGATGGATCATATGAGAGCACAGGCTTTGTGGAGAGGAGATGTGGGCAGAATCCTGGTTCAGGCCCTTATCAACTGTTTGATTTATGTCAAGTTACTTAGCCTTTCTGAGCCTCAGTTTCCTTATCTGCAAACTGGGAATTATAATCCTTCATCCCACACAGGGCAGTTGTAAAGATTTAATTGACAAGATCGTGGAGGTCGTTTCTAGCACAACAGTGGGTACCCAGTAGGCCTACAATCAAGGTTACTGCGTAACCAGACCAGCACTTGTCAAGGGATGGACTTTCAGTACAAAGTGTTCTGGGGTGGGGATGAGGGCCACTAGGGATGAGGGGATGGACCAAGGGAGCTATTTCTATATAACTGATGAATAGATAAAAGTAAAAAGGGCAAAGGGATCAATGAACAGCTAAAACTGGACGGGAAAACAACCAACACCAATGGTGGATTTTCAGGGGCTGGTGGCAAGGTGGGTTACAAGTGATTTTTATTCCTTCCTTGTGCTCTATTTTCTAACTTCCTACAGTGAACATGTATGACTTGATTAATCTGTTTTAATTATTGAAAATTAGTGTAGAATACAAACAGAAATAACACAAATATCCATCAACAGATGGATGGATAAAGAAACTGTAGTATCTCCGTGCGGTGAAATATTAGGCAGTCAGAAAAAGGAATGAAGTGCTAACACCTGCTATGACATGGAGAGGCCTTGAAATTATGATGCTGAGTCAAAGAAGCCAGTCGTAAGAAAACCACCATTGTATGTTTCCATTTTTATGGGACGTCCAGAACAGGTAAATCTACAGAGATAGAAAGTAGATTAGTGGTTGCCAGGGGCTGAGAGGAGGGGGAAAAGGGAGTGATTTCTCAGTGGGTACAGGGTTTCCTCTCTTGGTGATGAAAACGTTTTGGAACTAGACTGAGGTGGCAGTTGCACAACCCTGTGAATGTACTAAATGCCACTGAATTGTTCACTTTAAAATAGTTAATTTTGTTATGTGAATCTCACCTCAATTAAATAGATAAATAAAACTAGAAAATAGTTCCCTGACCAAGGATCAAACCTGTGCCCCCTGCAATGGAAGTGCAGAGTCCTAACCACTGGACTGCCACAGGGAATTCCCTTAGAAAATTTTTAAAAATTAGTGCAGGTTTATATGAAGTTCTAGAACAGGCAAATCTAACCTCATGGGAAAGAAATCAGAAGAGCAGTTGCCTGGGGAGAGGGGTGGAGGCTAACTGCAAAGGTCACAGGGAACTTTCTAGGGTGATGGAAATGTTCTATACCTTTATGGAATGGTGTTTACATGACTGCATGTTTATCCAAACCCATCAAATTATATGCTCTAAATGTGTATTTAAGCTATCCATCAATAAAGTGAATTTAAAAAAAAAAAAAACAGAACAAACTTAGTCCGGGACATCATTTATCACCCAGCAGAATGGCAAAAAAATGTGAAGTGAACCATAATACCCAGTGCTAGCAAGTCTGTGGGGAAAGACAACATATTCACAGAATGGCGGTGCAAGTATAAATTGGCCCAACCATTTTTTGAGGCAATTTGGCTGTTATCTATCTAGAAACTAAAATTTTAATTACACTCATCTTTTAACCCAGCGTTTCCACCAGGAAACACATCTGGGGGCCCACTTGCTGTAGTACTGTTTGAAACAGCAAAGACCTGGGAATTCCCTGGCAGTCCAGTGGTTGGGACTCCTTGCTCTCACTGGACAAGCCTCACGGTGCGGCCAAATAAAGAAATAAAGATTTTTTAAAAAGAAAGAAGGGAGGGAGGGAGGGAGGGAGGGAGGGAGGGAGGAAGGAAGGGAGGAAGAGCAAAGACCTGGAAATGGCCCACATCCTCAACTGGGGACTAATTAAAATTTAACGTCCAGGGCTTCCCTGGTGGCGCAGTGGTTGGGAGTCCGCCTGCCAATGCAGGGGAAACGGGTTCGTGCCCTGGTCCGGGAAGATCCCACATGCCGCGGAGCGGCTGGGCCCGTGAGCCATGGCCGCTGAGCCTGCGCATCCGGAGCCTGTGCTCCACAGCGGGAGAGGCCACAACAGTGAGAGGCCCGCGTACCGCAAAAAAAAAAAAAATTTAACGTCCAGCTGTTAAAAAGTGGACCGAACATGACAATAGAAAAAGCTCTCCAAGGCCGGCTGTGGAGCAAGAGGAACAAGTGGCAAACAACCCATATAGCATGATCTCATTTATGTTTTTTTTTAAAACCCAGAAAGCAAACTTTTTAGGGCTGTGCAACTATTCTGTAAATACCGTAATGGCGGATACATGTCATTGAGCGTTCATCAAAAATCCATAAAACTCTACAAAGAGTGAACTCAAATGTAAACCATGGACTTCAGTTGACAATAATGTATCAATATTGGTTCATCAATTGTAACAAATGAACCACACTAATGCAAGAGGCTAGTAACAGGGGAAAGTGGGAAGGGGGATATATGGGAACACTCTGTACTGTCTACTCAATTTATGTCAATGTAAAATTTTTCTAAGAAATAAAGTCTATTAATTTTTAAAAGGTCCATATATACACACATATAAATGCATCCCCCCAAATCTAGACAGATCCAAACCAAAATGACATCAGTGCTTTCCTCTTAGGAGAGATCTGGAATGTGGGATGAAGGTATCAAGGGAGATGTATTTCTTCATCTCTGTTGCTGGAATCTGTGGCAGTGAGGATGTATTTACATATAAATAGCATAATAAAAATATTGATAAGTTAAAACAAATGGAAAAGTGAGGTACGTTTTTTAAAAGTCTGAAAAAACATAACCAAGTGTTTGCAGAAATGACCTCTTGTGGGATGTGGGGTGTTCCAGTGACTTTCATTGTGTGTATGTGTGTTTTGCCACATTTTCCAATTTTCTATAACATACATGTATGACTTATGTAGGTTTTTCAGATATTAAGATGATAGTGGATACACAGCAATGGGAACGACAGATCTGCAGCTACAGAGGACAACGTGGATGAAACTCACAGACGTTACACTGAGTGAAAGAAGCCAGGTGCAAACAAGCCCATGCTGCATGATTCCATTCGCAAAACATTCCAAATCCATCAAACCTAATCCAGGCTGTGAGAAGTCACTACGGGCTGGGGACAGTGCCTGGAAAGGGACAGGAAGGAAGCTTCTGGGGGCTGGGAATGTTGTTTCTCTGTCTGGATGCTACACACACAGGTGTGTGTTCAACGTGCAAAAATTCCAGCTGTACACTTATGATGCACACACTTTTCTGTACAAATGTCAATTTAGAAGTTTAAATTTAAATTAATGGGCATTAGGTTGTTTCCAAACCACTAATGCAGCTGACAGCCACGTACACAATCCCCTTGCAGAAACAGAAATGTTTCTCCAGGGACAGATCTGAGCCAGAGGGTTGCTGGATCACAGGCGAGACAGATTTTAAATTTCGTTAGATGCCAGCTGGGCTCCTCTTCAAAGTGGCCGTGCCAGCTCCCACTCCCGTTAGCAGTGAATGAGGGTATACATTTCCCCACCCTCTCGCCACCTCCTGGCAACATTAATTTAAGTTTGGCCAAGAAGGAGGCACTGCAAACATTTGGCAGTGGCTGCCTCTAGACTTAACACTGGGGCCAGGAATGACGGGCACACTATCCGGCACTTGGGCCTTAGTGGCAAGGTTTTCACATTTGACAGGAAGAACGTATTCATCCATTCCTGTGTAGCTGTTTGCAAAAATGGCTGTAACTCTCCCCATGCTTGTATCCACGTCATCTGCAATGTGACTCTGCAGTTCCTTACATCACATGGTCGGGTCTATTTCCCCACTTCTTGAATCTGCAAGGGTCACTTGACTTGCTTTGAGCAACAGAATACTGTGCCAGTTTCAATCAGCCCTCGACAGGCCTTCCACACTTGCCTGCCCAGATGTCACATGAACAAGCCTGAGCTAGCCTGTGGGAGGATGAAAGACCACGTAGCCCAGCTGTCACATCATCCCAGCTGACAGCCACCCCCCAGACATGCAGACAAGGCCATCCTAGGTCAGCCAGCTCACCCCAGCTGACTACAGAAGCATCAGTGAGGCCAGCCACAATCAGCAGGCTTGTCCCAGAATAACAAAACCACCCAGCAGACCAATGGACATGTGAGCAAAAATAAATGGCTATGTTTTAAACCTTTGTTGTTTTAAATTTGGGGTGATTTGTTACACAGCAGTGGCTTACTGATACGCCTTGTGAGATAAAAGTTAAAAGGAAATAAACATGTTAAAAATAACATGAACTCTTAGAGTGGCCTTATGGTGATCCCAGTGTATACGGGGCTGAGGCCCACACCTCCCAGTACTATGCCCACTGTGAACCCACATACATGCTCACACACAGACCCACCCACATCTACCCACCTTGGGGCCCTTCTCTGAACTGGAACCAGTACTTTTTCATGATGCGCAGCATGTACTGGTAGGAGTGCCAGGTGTTGTGGGCGACTAGGAGGTCACTCTGGCCAGGGAGCAGCTTGATGAGGGCAGAGCAGGAGCCAGAGCCCGTAGCATGCTTCGTCTTGGTCTTATTCAGGGCCAGCTCTAAGTCTTCCAGGTCCCCAGAGATCTGCAACAGGCTGAGGAGGGTCAGAGTGCCGGAGGGTTACCATGCTTGCTGGGAGTGCCTTTACATACCCATTTCACAGAAGAGAAAGCTGAGGCACTGGGAGGTTGGGCGACCGGTCCGAGGCCATGTAGCCAGGAAGTGGCAGGGCTGGTATTGGAACCCAGGTCTGTCTGACTATAAGGTGTGTGGCACTTTCCCCTGCCCTGTCCACTCTGGGGGTGGCACTTACAGGAACCCCAAGGGTTTGACGGTGAACTTCCCAGTTGGAAAGGTCACACTGCCTTCATAGCTGTCCTCTAGGCCTTTCAGCTGCAGGAGGGTCAGCCGCACCTAGGGGGAGGGGAAGGGGGCAGGGGGCAGGGGGCAGAGGGAGGGTGAGGCCTCTCCCCCAGGCTCATGCCTTCTACAATGGGAGGGGCTTCAGCAAGGGAGGCTCAGGTGCACCCTCCAGGTTCCAGCCAACCCTGACCACCCCCCCTTAACCGCCACCCACCCCTCCATGCCAAGCACCCTCCTGCCATCATTTAACTGTATGTCTCCATCCTGTGGCAACCCCAAATCACCCCACTTAAGACCCCAACTCAAATCCACCTCCTCCAGGAAGCCTCCCAGCCTGCCCTGGCCCACTGCTGACTGCTCCCTGTTCTGAGTTTTACTGGCTGTGCTGCTGGCTCAGTGAACTTGTGTCATGTGGCTAACTTCTCCCCACTGTCACTGTCATTGTTCTGTAACCATGGAGCATATCACTGTTTCCCCCACCGGGCCTTGGCCTGTGCTGGGCATACACCAGGCACTTAGCAAGCATCCATAAGATAGATAGACAAAAGGACAGATGGATGGATGGATGGATGGTGGCTACTGAGTTAAACAAGAGAAGGACAGAGAGAAAGGCAATCATCTAGATGGACAGGAGGGTGATGAGAAGGATAGATGTTCAGGCAGGTGCTGAAGTAGATGGACGGGACCAGATGGATTCACTCCTTCATCTGTAAATATTCAACAAATCTTCACTTATAAAGCGCCTACTATGTGCCAGCCCCTGTGCTAGGTACTGGGGATACCACAGTGGACAAGGCAGATGTGGTCCTTGCCTTGTCCTCATGGGGCCCAAGTCCAGTTGAAGACAGAATCTGAATGCCTCACAAGAGGGCTACAAAGAAGTGCAGGGAGGGGATGTGGAGGTGAGGAATGGTGGGGGTGAGCCGGGCAGAGGGGGAGAAGGAAAAGTGTTCCAGGCAGAAGGAACAGCACACTTTAAAGCCCTGAGTGAAGAGGTAACATCTTGTTCAAGGAACTGGGAGGAGACCAGGGAGGCTGGACCACAGATTGTGAAGGCCAGTAGATGAGGCTGGGGAGGGAGAGGGTGCAGGGGGTTGTTGAGGCCACATTAAGGAGTGTGGGCATCACCCTGGGGAACTGGGCAGCCCCTGGAGAGATGTACGAGCAGCAGAGACAGAGCAGAGGGGATGGACCAACAGACGGACAGACTGAGAGGTGCCTAGGCTCTGGCCAGAAGGAAGAGGCGGAATGAAGCAGGGAACGTGGTCTGTCAGGAAGATGGCTAGGCAGGTAGACGGGAGGGTAGATGGACAGACAGGTAGATGACGAACACAGAGAGAGACAGGCAACCAAATGGGGTATATCAACAAGGCGGGTGGATAGAATATCTGACAACTAGGCTAAGATGGGCAGGTTGGTGACAGATGAATAAATGGGAAGAAGAGAGTGAAAGATGGATAGACTTGTGGGTGGGTGGACGAATGTGCTGAAAAACTAGATGGATGAGTGGATGGATGAATAGATGGATGGATGAACGGGTAGATGGATGGAGGGGTGGGTGGGTGGATGGACAGACGGATGTATGGGAGGGAGAAAGGGAAGGATGGACATGGAGGGAGGGAGGGAGGGAAGACTGGATGGATCTGTGGATGGATGAGTAGAGATGGATGGGAGGATGGGTAGGTAGATGGGTGGATGGATGAGGGAGGGAGGGAGGGAAGGAGGAAGGGCTGGCTAAGAGGGACAGGGGACAGATAGGTTGGCCAGCTGGAACAGTAGCAGCCTCAGTGGTAGCAGCTCCCCAGAGCAGACCCAGCCTGCTGCCGCAGCCCTCTGAGCATGGGGACCATGCCCACCTGGTGCCAGTAAGCAGAGCCATTGTTCAATTCCATCTCCTTCTGCATCCACTCCAGGTTGGCCTCCAGGAATTTCTTGAGCCTCTCGCAGTAACTGACTTCATACTCGAAGGGGCCGCAGTAGTTCACCACCGTGTTCATCCAGTGCATATAGATGAGCTGTAGGGTGGGCGAGGACAGGGGCGGGGCAGCAGGGCTGCGCTCTTCCCTGAGGACCCCACTGGCCCCCACTCGGGCTCAGAGTCCTCACTCCTATCCAGGTCTCCAAAGAGTCGAGGAGCTCTGGTGAGGACACCTCCGCACCTCTGCTCACGCTGGCTTCTCTCACTCAGCCAGCTCTCACCCCCACCAGGGCCCAATGCCTCTGGATGCCTCCCCCCTCTGAAAGCCGTCAGCACTCAGTCTGTCCTAGATTACGCCTCCTCTGTTACTGGGGACCGCCACCCCCATCTATACATGTATTCAGTCACTCAACTACCTTTTTTTTTTTTAAGCACCTACTATGTCCTGTCCTGAGCACTGAGGACACAGCAGTGAACCTGGCAAGAGAACCCTGTGCCAGTTCCACCAGCCCTCAAGAGGCCTTCCCCACCTCCCCACCCCAATGTCGCACGAACAAGCTGGGCCAGCCTGCTTGGGGGTGAAAGACCATATGAGCCCATCGTCCCCGTCACCCCAACAGACGGAGAGCCTCCCTCGGGGGCTGGTGTGCAAGCTCAGAGAGGTAACGAGGGCAAAGCCCCTGGCACGTGTGTCTGGGGTTCCTCACGTGAGAACCACTTCGGGCCTTGCCTCAGTGCTCCTGGCTCAGGCTACGGGGCCCTTGAGAGATGGAATCCTGTCTCAAATACCACCAAGCACCCAAAACACGTGGCCTGACCCGGTGTCTGACACCTCCTCAGACATCGAGGTCCCAGGAGGGCATCTCAAACTGCAGCTGGATGTCAGAATGAGGAGAGGGAGTTTATTAAACGCTGTCACACTGTACACCGTCTCCTGTGACGTGCTCTGTCCCTCTCACCACCATGCATCTCACACCCATCCACTCTGCTCGTTCATTTTCACTGCTCTATGATCCTGCACTGTGTGACACTACTGCAATCCAGTTACCCGTGCACCCACTGGTGGCGTTTGAGTGTTTGCCTCGGGGCTGCTTTGAACCCCTTGGGTCACCTCTAGGGTACACACCTAAGGAGTGGGGCCCCTGGGTCCTAAGGCATGTGTGTATTCAACTCTACAAGTTAACGCCAAATTACATTCCAACGTGGGTGTCACACCTTCACGCACAGTGTGGGAGCATGGCCAGCCCACCACGGCCTCACCCACTCCTGATGCGGTCTGCCTTCTGAAATCTGTGATTATCACTTTTAAAAAGCCCAAAAGCAGGTAAAGCAAAATAATATATTGTTTAAGGTTTCATCACATGTAGTAAAACTAGTTTAACCAAAGGAAGGGAGTGGAAATAACTCAAATGTCCACCCACTGATGAAAGGATAAAGAAAATAGTCTATCCCTACAATGCAATATTATTTGGCCATAAAAAGGAATAATGTACTAACATACGCTAGAACATGGAGGAACCCTGGAAAAAAGTTAAAGAAGCCAGCCACAAAAGACCACATATTGGATGATTCCTTTCATAGGAACTGTTCAGAATAAGCAAATCCGTAGAGACAGAAAGTAGATTAGCGGTTGCCAGGGGCTGGGCGGAGTGGGGAAAAAGGGAGATGACTGCGAACAGGTGTGGGGTTTCTCTCTGGGGTGATGAGAATGTTCTGGAATTAGATAGTGGTAGTGGTTGTGCAACCTTATGAATATACTAAAAACCACTGAACTGTACATTATAAAATGGTGAATTTTATGGCATGTGAATTCTATCTCAATATAAATGAATGAATGAAAGGGAATGACAGCCACCACATGTAGTGTGGTGGGCGTCTCTGGGGTAGGAGAAGCAGGGGAATGGAGTTGAGAGGGTGCTTCAATGGTTTTAGTAACATTCCAGGGTTTAGTTTGGGTGGGTGTTCATTTTATTACTAAGGTTCGTAACTTGGAATGCGTTGTGTATTTTTTATATGCATCAAATAGCACCCAGTGTAAATTTTTAACAAATACATGTGAGCCTTTTCTCCCCAACTAGATGGAAGGCTGGGGGTGGGAGAGTCCCCTCTACACATATCTCAGAACCCTCCAAAGCTCCCTGGGGAACACACTTGATGGGCGGGGGGAACCCCGGGGTCCCGCGTCTGGCCCTTACCTCCTCGGACACGGCGGCCTCCACCACGCCCGCTGCGTAGGCCTGCAGGCTATCGTTGTAGTGGCCGTTCGTGTGCAGCTCCAGAAAGGCCCACCTGCAGGGGTAGGAGAGGGGACACCTGGTCAGCGAGGGGGCGAGAGTGAAATGGGCCCTCAGCTCGGCATGCACCTGTCTGCAGTTTTAAACCATAGAAAACAACGCAGTGATGAACTGCCATTCACATGAATGTCTGTCGGTCTGTCTCTGTGCACGTGTCAGGCTAAATCCCTAAAAGAGGAACTGCTAGGTCAAAGGACGCATGCATTTTAAATTTTAATAGATACTGACAAACAGCCTCCCCCAGGGCTGTACTAACCTTCATTCTCTGCCCCTCCCCCACGATAACACCAGCTAATACCTACTGAGGGTTTCTTCTGAGCCAGGCACTGTTCTAGTCACTTCCATATCTATTAACTCCTGCACTAGTCCTCATGACAATCCCACAGTCCTGCAAGGCAGGCACCGTTACTGTCTCCATCGTACGGAAGGGGAGGTACCTCAAGCAGAGTTACGTACCTGCTGTGGCAGATGGCATCGCAGCCTCTTCCCCCCACGTCCATGCCTTTTGCTGTGTGGCTTTACATCCCTCCCACCACTGGCCAAATGTCCTTCCCTGTCCCCTTGATTTGGGCTCAGTCATGTCATATGACTTGCTCTGGCCGATGGAATGCGGTAGAAGTGACTTGTCTCAGTTATGAGATTAGCCTTCAAAGGGCCTCCCGTGTTTCCACTTGTGTCCCTGCTATGGCCACGAGAGAAACATGCCCGGCCAGCTCGCTGGTCCCAAGAATATGAGAGACACGTGTTGCTGACCAGGTCTGCAGAACTACAGCATGAAGCAGAGCTGCCCCAACTGCTCCAAGGATCCATAAGCATAAACGGTTGTCATTCCAAGCCACTGAGTTTGGGGGCAGTTTGTTATACAACACTGTTGCCCGATACTAGCTGATAACACATACCAAAGGTCACAGAGCTAAGAAAGGGCAAAGCTAGGATTCAATTCCAGGCAGGCTGGCTCCCAGGAAGCAGATTCTGATCAGGCTGGCTCCCAGGAAGCAGATTCTGATCAGGAGACTGTATTTCTAACTAGCTCCCAGGTGATGCCTGGGGTATATACTGCATTTCTACAACATACAAACTCCTGTCTGTGCACTTCCCTGCTTAAAATCAATCTTCGTCATCCTTACTAAGGTGACAGTTGAAAAATTCAATCACGTAATTATAATCCTTTAATGAGTTACATATATTTCCTTATTTCTTATTGGTCATTTATAGTTCTTTGGTTCATGTCCTTCACTCATTTTTCTCTACCGTGGTTTTTTTCATCTTATTATTATTATTATTATTTTTCAGCTGCACCATGGCTTGCGGGATCTCAGTTCCCCAACCAGGGGTTGAACCTTGTCCACGGCTGTGAAAGCACCAAATCCTAACCACTAGACCGCCAGGGAATTCCCATCGCCTTTTCTTATTGGTTGGTGAAATTCTCTATATACATATTAGCCCTTGGCTTGTCACTAATATTGAAAATACCTGTATTTTAATTGATTTTTGCTTTTGTTTTTGCCATATGGTAGTTTTCAGTTTTGTCCTATCAGTCTTTCCTTTATGGTTCTGGATTTCATCCTTGCTCCAAGTACACAAAGAATATTCACCCAGGTGACTTCTGTAACTAAGGAAAACTCTTGTGAAGGCAATTTCTATTAAGAAAATGAGGGCAACAGAAGACACTAATGAGACCTTGAAGAGGCTACACAACACAGACAGCCAGGCTCAGCCAGGACTGTCTCACAGGAATTTGGCTAAAAAGTCACCAAAGAGCTCCAGGACAGGCACAGCTCTGCCTTAGAGAAGATACAGGAGAGGAAATGACTATCAAAATACTCACACCCAATAGTTTTGGCAATCAAGCTTCTTTGAGCACCTACTGGGTGCCAGACACCGAGGGTATACAAGAATGAATATATGTAACTGCTATGACGAGAAGAGGAATAAAGTACCCTGAGGAGGTACGCTCCTGCTGCTACTGAGTGAAATCTAGGAAGGCTTCACAGAGGAGGTGACAGCTGCTCCAAGTTTTGAAGTTTAAGTAGGAGCTTGCAGGGAGAAGGGGGGTTGTGGGGGAGGAGAGGGAAAGTAAAAGAAGGAAGCCTGAGCTCTGAGAGTTCCAAAGCAAAGAACTTGAGCTACAAGATAAAATGGAGCTGTGGGGTCTGGTAATGAGGCCCTGCTATAGTGGATAACAATAGCCCCCAGTGCTAAGCACATCACATGTCTACTTCTCTCTCTAAATTCTCCCAAAGACCCTATGACATGAGTTTGATTCTCCCAACTTACAGTTGTGGGACCCGAGGCTCAGAGAGATGAAGTCACTAGCCCAACAGAGCAGAGACTAACATCACAGAGCATGATGTGCTCTGAGCCTCTACCTTAACTGAGTTTTGTGGGGGACTGTTTCGTCCTTGAAGGTGAAGGAGTTAGTTCTTATCAAACAAATCTAAGAGCCATGAACTTCTGGCTAATGACTCACATATAATCACAGATATGGACAGAAAAACACAAGAGACTAGAATAAAGGTCTTAAATTTCAAGGAGAGTGGAGGACAAAGAGAGTCTGGGATTGTGGGTCCCTCAGGCATCGTTTGAATCCCCAGGTCTCTCTCTTATCAACTGTGTACCTTTGGGCAAATTGCTTAGTTTCCTCACCTGTAAAATGGGCAAAGCGATTCCCACTTCAGAGGGTTGCCATGGCAGGTGCCAGAAGAGAACTCACGTTTTATACTCACTAAATATGTGTCTCATCATGAACCTGAGAGGGGAGGTTGGAGCAATCCAGTAGACTTGGTGATGGGAAGAAATTTAAAACAGGGTACAGAATGTAGTTTCCCTTGTGATAAAAAAAAAAAAAAAAGCGGGGGGATCAAGGGAGAACATACACAACTTACGTAAAACCAAAAAGGCTGTTCAGATGCCAAGTCCTGGTTATAACTGAGAGGCCAGTGGCCTTCCAGACAGCGCCTGCTTAAAAGCTCTCCTTCTGCAGGGAGCAGGCTCAGTCAAGGCCACAGTGCTGAGGCCCTGAAGACAGGCAGCAGCTAGGAACTCACCCTGTGACCGGTGCTCACACAGCCCTCACGGATGTGTATGAGCATCCTTGTTCACAGCAGCATTTTTTTTTAACATCTTTATTAGAGTATAATTGCTTTACAATGGTGTGTTAGTTTCTGCTTTATAACAAAGTGAATCAGTTATACATATAAATATGTCCTCTTGCATCTCCCACCCTCCCACCCCTCTAGCTGGTCACAAAGCACCAAGCTGATCTCCCTGTGCTATGCGGCTGCTTCCCACTAGCTATCTATGTTACATTTGGTAGTGTATATATGTCCATGCCACTCTCTCACATTGTCCCAGCTTACCCTTCCCCTTCCTCGTATCCTCAAGTCCATTCTCTAGTAAGTCTGCATCTTTATTCCCATCTTGCCCCTAGGTTCTTCGCAACCATTTTTTTTTTTAAGATTCCATATATATGTGTTAGCATACGGTATTTGTTTTTCTCTTTCTGACTTACTTCACTTTGTATGACAGCCTCTAGGTCCATCCACCTCACTACAAATAACTCAGTTTCGTTCCTTTTTATGGCTGAGTAATATTCCATTGTATATATGTGCCACATCTTCTTTATCCATTCATCTGTTGATGGACACTTCGGTTGCTTCCATGTCCTGGCTATTGTAAATAGAGCTCACAGCAGCATTTTTGACTAGAGCTGAGGAAAACAGGGCCCTCCCAAAACATCCAGTGTGAGGGGCCTGATACAATAATCTATCCATATATGCGGTGGGCTTCTAGAACCATGTGGCAGACCGCCGTGTGCTGATGAGATGTCAGACACAAAGTTTTTTAAAAAAAAATAAGATAAGAGAAGGACAAACGGTGGACTCAGGATAACCCCATGTACAAAAACATTACACGCACACACATACCAGTACGTATACACATGTATGTATGTATGTATGTATGTTTAGGCCTGTTTATGCATAGAAAATTCTAAAAGAAAGAACTAACAGTGGTTATATATAAAAAGAAAGAGTGGGGAGCGCAGTTTACCTTCCACATTCCACCTCACCTTTCTAAACTGCTAGAATTTTTTTACCATGGAAAGTTAAGTATTTGTGTAATAATTACAAAGATTTAAAAGAGAGCAGTGTGACTCTTTCAAGCTGGACAGAAAGGAAAAGGATGAGTGGAGAGTGACAATTCCCCCACCCCCCGACCCCCGCCAGCCAGGCCACAGTACTGTAAATATGGAATTAGTCACTGCCCTTGTTGGAGAGAGTGTCTTCTGCATTCCTCTCTGAACCGCCTTATTCCAAAGGGCAACTGGGGTGATTCAGTTTGGATGGGGTTTGTGCACTTTGCTCGAGTTCTCAGAAAACCTGGCTATGTAGGTGTCTGCCTATCTTTCCAGAATACCTTGGAAAGAGAGAGATTCCCATTCGTGAGGGAATTTCAGTGCTAGAGCCCCTCTGGCTGATCTCTGAAGATCCCTCTGTTGCCTCGGGCCCTAAGCCCCAGTCAAATGATTTTCTTCCAGGGCCCTGCAAGGCTGGGGCCATCCTCATCTCGGGGGGTGAGGCAGCTGCCGATAGCCACCTGTAGGAAGTGTCCGGGCAGAGATCTGAACCTAGATCTCTCTGATGTTAAACCTGAAACCCTGCCTCATACCACATCTCCACGCTCTT